GAGTGCTCCCAAAGCCTCTGCCCTGAGTACAGGAGGCAAAAGGGCTCCCAGAAAGTAAGAGAAGGGAGTTACACCTCTGCAGACAGCAAACCAGCAGGTGTACTTGACAACCTCAGCTCCCCAGCCCTGTCCTGTGCACTGTGCCACACAGAATACGAGAATATCCCACTGGTACGACAAGACAGAGTCCCACAACCTCCATGACAGAAATCAACTTGAATGTCAGATTCCTGACGGACTGAAAATGAGCACCACACAAAACATGATGTCAGCCTAGTGAAGTAGGTCTGTTATTGTACCCCTCCTTTTTTTGTGGTACTGGGATGGAATCCGAGGGTGTTCTACCCGAGTTACACCTCCAGCCCCCTAAAATTGTTTTGTTATGTTTGAGAACAGGTCTCATGAAGTTGCCCAGGCTGGCTTCAGATTTTCAGTCCTTCTTCCTCAGTCTCCCAAGTAAGCAGCTGGGATTACAGTCATGTGGCACCTTGCCTGGCTCTATTTTATAGATGAGCAAAGTGAAGTGCCAAGAGAGTAAGAAATTTGCCCAAGGTTATGCAGCAGTAATTGATGATGCTTGAGCTCTTAATTTAAGAATCCACATCTCAGAACTGAGAGAAACTAGAAGAGAGTGTTCAGTTAGGGAACACCTTCTGTGGTTAATTTTTTGTTTAAATTTGGTGCTCATAGAATTCAAATTCATTTACCTATTAATTTTACTTCTAAGATCCAGCTTATTTCTTATTAGTATTGGATAGTGAGGTTTTGCTGTAAGTAGTGTAAGTATAAATTGGTATAATTTTTGTAAGCTAAAATGGTAGTGTGTATATACATTTAAATGTAAATATCTTTTGATCAATTGCACTTACAAGATAGTATCTCATAGAAAAATATACATTTTGTAAAGATACATGAGAATGTTCATTACATCACTTTTTATAATAGAGAAAAAGTGAAAACAATATAAAAAAGAGAATTGTGAAGTAAAAATGGCAATGTAATAGGCCCCTGATCATCCAACCAAATCTGTCCATGGGAATGAACTTCGATCTGGGCATATACTCAGCTATCCAATGAGCAGCTATGTTCCCCAGCTTCCCTTGCTACTGGTTATGACCATGTGAACACACCAGCATTCATGCAATTTGAGCTAAAAGAATGTATGCTGTGCAGCCTGCCTTCCTCTAGCAGGAACCCAGATCTGCCCATGATCCAGTTTTGACCCTGCAGCAAGTCTAACACCTCAGGGCATGGCAAAATGACAATAGGGAAGAAACCAGAGTCCCTGGATACTTGGGGGCAGCAGAGTCAGCTTGTGTTGCATAGCTCACTTTTGAATTGTTACTCAAGAATGAAATACGGTCCTCTCTCATTCATGTTCTCTACGTCACAACAATTTGGATTTTATCTTACCTAATGTAGGGAAGCTGCAGAATACTTTAAAAGACATACTGATATATAGAAGTTGGTAGTACATATAAAAAAAAAGATGCTGTGACCAAATGAGTTTATTCCAGCATCCAGAAATAAGGAACCCAGGATAAAGAGCTTATTTCCATATATGAAAAATTATTAAATAAATTAAAGGAAACAGCACACTTTTTTTCAGTACTTATCCAAAGCACATTTGATAAATGTCAACACACATCTTGAAACTTGGAAGACAAAATTATTTCTTTGAAAAATATATAAAATAATATAATATATAAGATAATACAATAAATTTATATTTTATACATTTTATAGCTTATTACATATTTTGTATTTATACTATAGTATAAATATAAAATAAAATTATACAAATTTATTTGAGTTTTTTCTTTGGTACCAGGGATTGAACTCAGGACCTTGCACTTTCAAGGCAGGCAGCAGAACCACTGAGCTAAATCCCCGGCCCCACAAATTTAAATAATATATTTAATAAGACACATGATTCTGGAGAGAAAACCACAATAATTCAATTAAAAAAAGAAATAAGGTGCATGTTCTCCTTATCACCGTATTGAATTACAGAATATTGGCAGAGTAATAAAAAAAATATATATATAGGTGCACACAGAGAAATGCACACACAGAGACATACAATGAAGACAAATGGTGAACTGGATAACATAAAAATTAAAGATGGTTTCATTATAAATTTGAAAGAGAAAGGTATTTGCAAAGTGGTCAAGAGCCTCTGACATTGGACACATCTGGGTTTCAATTCTGGCTTCAGCGATTAATAATCACATGACCTTAACCTCCTTAACCCTCAATTTCCTCTTGCATAAGATGAGTATAATAAGGCCACTTTCTAAGGTTATTGTGACCATTAAGTCAAATATTGTCAAATGCCTAGCACAGTATCTGGCATGTAGTAATCACTCTCATTAGAAATGAATGTTAGAAGAAAATTGTATGTATATACATTGGAAGTAAACTGTATGTTGGAGATCATTTCATAAATGCAAATATTCTTATGCTTTGACTCAGTAAATATCAAGTCTGAGAATTTATCTCAAGGGAGTAACTTAAAGGAAAAAAATTTTAGTACAAAATTGTTTATAGTAGGATTGTTAATCATAGTCAAAAGAAGTGTAAACATCTGAAATCTGCAACAATAGATGTATCCATGCAAAAGGAAATATGTACCCATTAAATGATTAATATGGGAATAAGTCAAAATATGTGGAATTAGTAATGAAATAAACAATAAAAAAAGAATGAAGAAAAGGAAGTTATGTCTATGTCATCCAATCAACTTGTGAAAAAATTATAAATGTGTGTAAATATTGGAAAAAATAAAAATTGTTGCTTTTTCAGAATGTATGGGGTTGTAAGTGAAATTTTAAGATAAATTTTTCCTAATGTTTAAAATCTGCTTTAATAAACAAATTTTTTAAATGGGAAGCAGAAAAGTATAATTTTTAAAGTGATTCCTTTAAAGATGGCTACATTTTTTGAAAAGTTCCTTTAAGAAAAATGTCAGAAATTTTGCTTCTGGGAAGCCTCTTGTTCATGTTGAATAGGGGCAGGGGTCGATACTGTACTCCACACCAGGGCTTCCTACTTGCTGGTGACACCCAGGACCCTTGCACACAACAGTCACAAGCAAAAGGCTTCTTCCCCAACACCAGCCATGTAAAGTAGGGCAGGATGAAGTGGGACAAGGACTTTTCAAGGCTGCTCTGTCAAACCTGGGGTCTGCTGGGGCCTCAGTGCCACAGGGGAAAAGCACAGCATTCCAGTGAGTGCCCCAGCATCCCGCAGCCCTGCTGAACTCTCCCCTCCACACTGGCCTTCTCAGGATGAGTTTGTCTGAAATGTCAGGCAGCTGAGAAACATCGCCAATGCTCACTAGGATGGCAAAACCATGAGACTTGGAGTCAGGAGCTATTTGGGCCTCACGTTCCTCAGTTTCAAGATAGGAGCTTGAATCCCTGCCGGTGTTCATTGGGAGCAGATTAAATCCATGGTACAAGAGGATTTCTACTCTGCAAAATGCTATAGGTGATTTTTTTATTATGATCACATTCAAAGGAGTAGGATAAAATGTTGAATGCTTTCATTATATGAGTGGCCTAGAGAAATAAAATCCCTAGAGACAGAATGTAGAATGGGGTACCCAGGGGCTGGAGGCAGGGGAGGAAAGGGGAGTTCATGTTCAATGAATGGGTGCAGAGTTTCAGCGTGGGAAGATGAAAATGTCTGTGTTTGGATGGTAGTGATGGCTGAGCAACAGTGTGAATGTGAATGTGCTTAATGTTGCTAAACTGTATGCTTAAAATGATTAAAATAGCAAACTTTATTCCATATATATATATATATATATATTTACCACAAGAAAAAATAAATAAAAGTAGGATATAGACAATGAAACGCAAAGACAGAAGGAAAAGGGAGGCTTTCAGAGACAGAGGGACTCACTGCTTTAAGGCGCAGGTATGATGATTGAAGAGGAAGGGGGATGGCAGGTCAAGAGGGGAACATGGCATGGACACAGGCATAGAAGCCAGATGTGAGTGGCCACTGCAAGGAGGTCTGGGGAGGACCTTCATTCCCCTTTGTCCACCTTATGACACTGTGGATATAGTTGTAGATTATTTTTATGTGCCTGAACACCCCTTGTATAATTTCATTCATTTATTCAATAGATACTTATGCAGGGTCTCATAGTGCCAGGCACTGTTGTCATAAGCACTTAGTAATAAAGCTACACACGCCTGCATGCACACATACACAGGTCCCAGTAAAGATACTGGCCCTTGTTGGCTTCTATTCTAGGGTTGATAACAGCTGGCACCTAGACCACACTGCTATGTACTAGGCACAGTCCTAGGTACTTTCTAAACAGAAGTTATTTAATCCTTTAATGTTACTGATAACCTTTGAGTTATAATTCTGGTGAGTCTCATTTTATGTCCTGTAGCTTATGCAGGCCACATGGCTGGCAAGGGGCAGAGCCTGGATTTAAGCTGGACAGGATGGGGAACGCTGGGAGAAGGACTGACCCCATCAGCCAGTCTCTCCCCAAGCAGGCAGGGGCTGGGATTGTTCGCAGATTGGAGGGGGACAGTGGAAAGCAAGAGGCACAGAGGAAGGGACTAAGAGTCACCCAGCAGGGTGGGGCTGCGGTATGGACTTTGTGGTGACAGCACATTGGGATGGAAGAGATAGCTCTGGTGCCTAGAAAAAAGGAACTGGTCTGTTTGGGTGGCTTCCTGGGTGTGAGGGGAGAGGCAGTGTCAAAAGTTCAAGCCTGGGGCACTTTCCGGAGTCACTGTTGCTAACGAGGCCTGGGATGGGGAAGCTGGCAGGAAGGAGATGGGTTGAGGGTGCTCTGCCTGGGTGAGAAACATGATCAGCTTTACCCATTCATCCACAAATATTGTATGAGGGGCTGCTCTGTGTCCAGCCCACTGCCACTTCTGGGATGGACCCAGGTCACCCACCGGAAGTGCAGTGTACATGGATCTGCCCTCCATTACCTTGGGCAGATAACCTACCTGCCTGCCTACCTTTCTCCTGCTCTGCTGCTTCGCTCAGTTCAGGAAGCTTCAGGCCCACCAGGTTCTGGTTTCTCATTAGGATGTGCTCCTTTGGAGAGAGAGAGAGAGAGAGAGAGAGAGAGAGAGAGAGAGAGCGCAAGCACACACTTTAGACGATAACATCAGGCTGGGCTCTTCTCTTGTTTCCTCTGGTTCTGTGACCACTCAACATTAGGTGGGAAACAGGGGCTGCAGCAAAGGTGGATAGATGGGATGGTTGGGAAAGTTGGGGAGCATCCGCTCTTTTCCCAGCTTGTCACAGTGCCCACCATTGGTGTCACATTCCTTGGGTCATGGTCTGCTTTTTAAAGAAATCCATGGGCCTCAGGGAAAATGAACTGCTCAGCCATACAGAGCTGGAGAACAAACAGCTCTGAGGACAGGCAGCTCCCTGGGGTGTATGTGTGGCTGTTCCTGGGAACAATCTTTGGCAATCTGTCTCATGGCTGGCTGCAGCTTCCTGCCCTGCTGTTCCAAGCAGGAAGAACCCACTTCCAGGAGTTGTGACTTCCCCCACCTCTCAGTTCCTCACTGGCCCTTATGGCACCTCCAGACAGATAAAGCCTGAGAACTGCTGCCTTGGGGACTCGGCGGGCAGAGCTGGGGAGATGCAGGATGTGGAGTGCACATATGTGGTACAGTTAGGCCACACCTGGTCCTACCTAGGTAGCACCAGGCCGGGGCCCTCAAGAAGAATGTGTGGTGGAGCTCCTCACCCTTCAAGACTTCTGCTGTTAATGGATTTTCAGCCTCCTAGATGGCAAAGGCCACAGGATAAAGAAGAAAAGGAAGGGGCCAGCAGAGGGTGCTCATGATCCAAATGGAAGTCCAACCAGACTTCACCTGTATCCCTAGCAACCAGTGGCCCACAGCGCATCAGCTCTTGGCACATTGGAACGGGGTGCTGACTAGGTGCTCAGCTGTCAGGGTAGAGGGTGGAGGGTAGTGACACGGGGCCTCCAGGTTCTCCAGAACTTTCTGTGCTGAGTGAGGGGAATCTGCAGGGATGTGGGGCATGGGGTTAGCTTGTTGCCTAGACCTGGCGGCACATGAAGGCAAATCCCTGGCTATCTGGCCCCTTCAGTCCCTCCTTCCCCCAGATGTAGGACTGAGCCCTGGGTGGCTCCCCCAGACCTTGTTCTGATTTGCTAGTTACTTAGGTCTTTCTGGCTAGGTAGAGCTTTCTGTGTCAAGTGTTCACATCAGCAGCCAGGCCTCAGATCCCCCTGAGCCTCCAATTTAGAGCATCATGGGAAGATTTCTCAGTAGGACAGTGGCCAACATCGGATTGTGTCTGGTAGCACAGAAATATATAAATTGCACTTGTACTGGAGTGCGATCAGTTTCCTCATTTCCCTTCCTGCCCCACAGGGGAGCTTTGTCCAGCTCCAGGCCTTACACTATGGAATCCCAGTTGCCTTGGCCTGGTTAGACTTCTAGGGAAGGGAGGACCCAGTTGAGATTTCCTTGTCTTGTTAATTCTTCTGTCCCTCACACTCTGGTCCCACCCCCATGCATCTCTGAATATCCCCAGTTATGGCTTGCATAGCATAGCAGCCTCATGAGTGCCTAGTTAGAGACACCATGGGCATCAAAAGGAATTCACCATGGAGAGACCAGCCCCTGGCAGTCCTTGTCATACTTGTACATAGATCTGACGCCCTTGATTAACAGGCACCAGGAAGAAAGGCTAGGGGTCATTACAAGGGAAAACCTAGTGTATCTTGGCCTGGTCCCATTCTAGGCAAGACCATGCACTCCATCAGGGTCCCATCTGTGAGCAACCAGCTCTGGCTGGAGGAGTAAAAGAGCCCAGAACGAGGGCGCACATGCCCCTCCTCACACTCATCTTCCCCTGAAATGTGGCTTTCTGCAGCAACTCCAGCCAACTGGCCTTGAGACTAGTGTGATGAAGGCACTACCGCACACGCTGGCCCTGCTTCTCAGGTAGGGAAGTGTAGGCCCCTAAGAGGCCAGAGCCACCCTGCCCCTGGGCCCAGCCTTGGCCCAGAGTCTTCAACCCAGTGGGGACCTGGCAGGCACACCCTGCCCAGCTGGCCCCTAGGAACTCACCTCACGTAGCTTGGTCAGTTTCTGCATCCGCACGGGCTGCACTTGTATCTGGAAGTCTTTAAGCCCTGGCACCTTGGCCAGCTTGCCACTCGCTTTGCCTGGGAAGCACTTCTCCTCCTCTGCCACTGGCAGCTTAGCAAGCACTTTCTGCAACGGGGGACCCAGCTCTTCGGGGCCACTGTCCCAGGAGACCCCCCGCATCAGGGGTGGCCGGGACTCAGGGGGCTGCAGTTCGACTTTGGGGCCAACCTTGGATGCTGGGGGGTCTCCAGTGGAGCCTTTTCTCTGGGTGCCTGGTGAGACCACTCCTCCCAAACCCTGGGCTGGACTTCTCAGCAGAGGGTTGCCTTCCCTGGCCATCTTTGGGAGCTGCCTCCCCGGCTCACTCTCAGCTGAGACAGGCGGGGGGCTGTTCAGGGCCATTTTCCCAATGCTGTTTGTGCCAGAAACTGGGCCCTTGGGTGTGGTCTCAGGGTGCTGGAGGGGATCGAAGTTTTCCTTTTGTTCTATTGCAAGCTCTTTGGACTTCTCAACAGGGGGAGATTGAAGAGCCATCCTGCCCTGAGACACTTTCCTTTGGTCATGCTGCTTCCGGTCAGCTAACCCTTTGGGGACATTCTGAAAGAGATAAGGTAGAGTTGGGACCCTGGAGAGAGATGAGGCAGAGACACAGCCCCTGCCAGGCAGCCCCTGTGTGTATGTGTGCATGAGTGGGGAGAGGTGGACTGGGTAGACAGGGACAACCCCTCAGTCAGGTCTAAGCCAGCAAAGTAGACCCACACACAAGATGGAAGTTTATAAAACGGAGAGGACAAGGGGAACTGCAACTCAAAACCAGCCTAGAACTGCCCAAGAGCTCAGAGCAAGGAGGAGTGCGATACAGGGCAGCTTTGGCTCCCCCTCGGTTGCCCCAGATTCTGGTCCTGGCTCTTAAAGACTCGCATTTCTCACTAGGTTTGTGAATTCTCTGAAATTATGTGCAGATTTGCATGTCTGTTTGTGGCTTTTAGGGGGGCTATTTTTCTGGGCAAAGAATCCTTAGCTCTTGAGAACTTTTTTTTTTCTTTTTCCTGGGAAGAGATTTCATCTTTCAACAGCTTTTCAGACTTGCATGATCCAAGAGAGGACAGGATCATTGGATGAGGTGATTCCTGCTGGAAAGTCGCAAGTTCTGTACTCTTACTCCCCCTGGAAGCCTGCGTCGTGAGGCACGCGTGGCTTCGTGTCTGGGGCTCTGGGTGCTGTCGTGCATAAGTGCTGGGCTGGTGTTCTTCCAGAGACCTCTATCCAGACCCAGTTCCAGGTGGGCTCGTATTTTAAGGCTGCCCTCCATGGCGCTTGGAGCACCTGGGCACCTTGCTCTGAGCAGGCTGGGACACACTTCTGTTGCTCATCAACAAAGATGAGGCTCCTCTGGATGCTCCCAGCAGAATTCCAACTGCGGCTGGAGCTTTCCTGCAATGTCACTGGAGGTCTCATCTGGCTGGGAGTGCAAGGGGATGGGCATGACCTCTGTGGAGGTCTCACCCCCTGGGTCCTGCTTCCCACCCTGTCCCACTCAGTTATGGAAGGGCAGGGGAATCTGCTGGTTTCCCTAGCTCGGACCTTCCATTCACATACCTGTTCATACACAGACTGCCCAGCACCAGGCCAGGCCTCTGTGAGACAGTGTCCCCAGGCCCAAACACCCAAACTGAACAAAGTTCCAACTCACAGGCTCGCCAAGGTGAGGTGAGGAGATGTCTGCCTCATCCCGCTTCTGCTGGAGAAAGTAAACACACGTGAGCTGGCAATGGGAGAGGCCTGTCTTCCTCTGGAGAGGCCCTCAAGGAGGCCTAGCCAGGGCCAGTGCTTCCCACCCAGCACCCTCGGGGGTCCTGGGAGGCCTCTCGGGCGTTAGAGGTCAGGGACAGACTGCTGCCACAGAAACAGGGCCTCAAGTTACCTGTGGTGGTGATCCTGGCTGAGGGGACTGTGGGCCGCTGCACACATCCAAACCTGGAACAGTCCCAACACACATGAGTGGGGCCCAGCGCCTGGGACCCTCAGCTCTCCCAACACGTCCCTCCCCACAACATCCCTTCAGAGCAGCCTTAGGCCTGGGCGCCAGAAATGTCACCATTTGCTGAGTGCCTCCCAACCGCCCTTGCTGATCCCCACAGCAACTATATGAGGAAATTGAGGCCTAGGGACCTTGAGGTCACATGCGCAGGAAGTGGCAGTGCTGAGATGGGAAACCAGGCTGCCCACCTCGAGCTGAGCTTGCCCCCCAGCACTGAGCCCCTTTCCCTTGCTGGCCTGAGGCTGTGGCTGTGGAAGAGAAGACATCAAAGTGCAGAGTGGCTCAAATAAGAGGCCTTCCCAATGTGCTGCAGTGACTTCTCTCAAAGACAGCCCATCGCAGCCCTCTTCCCATAACCTTGCTCAGGTCCCCAGCAGCCTACCTCTCCGGGATCCACCTGCCTCCTCCATCAGCCCCGGGCCCCAACAGTGTGCCTGCCGCTTGTGGGGTGCCCCCCACCGCCGCCCCAGGGCTAGCTGGGAGCTCCCGGGAGGGACCCAGCAGGAATCCTGAACAAGCAGGCTGCAGGCCAGAAGGTGGCTGGCTGCGTGGCCACTGTCAGGGAGAGGCCAGGGTAGGAAGCACCTGGGCGACTGGGCCTCACCTGGCGGGGTGGGGACTGTCAGTGAGCTGCTCCTAGAGGGCACAGGAGAGGCTCCGGGGCTGAGGCTCAGGGGGACAGCTGAGGAGATAGACACAGACTGGTTGGCATTCATGAGAGGTTGGGACTCAGCCTCTCAGAAACAGCCTTTCGGGTACTTCTGGCCCCTGGGACTGGAAGTGCCTTGTTGGGGCCTGCTCTGGACTGTCACACAAGGCTTCTTTAATGGCCCAGCCCCTCTCTTCTCTCAGCCAACAGAGGCGGCCCTTGGGGTCATGACTGGGGAGTGTCACACTCCTCAGCCTACTGTGCCTGACCTCAGGGCACCTTCCAGAAACTGAGGACCTGGTGTTGCTTGGCAGGTAAAGTACCAGAGGCTGTGTAACAGGGACCTTGAGGCTAGGCCTGAAGATGCCTGATGGATAATTAAAGGAGGGACAAAGCTTAGCATCTCTGCCTTCATTTTTGTTTGTTTCACTCATTATCTTAAAACTTTGGGTCAGATTCCTGCTCAGCTCTGCATGTAAGCATGTTAATTATGTAAGGAGTTGTATAATACGAAGTTTATTAGACCTCTATCTACCTACCATATCTCATTCTCCTTTAAGACTAAGGACACCAACTTAGGAGCAATTAATTTTCAAGTTTTGCAGGGACAACCAATTGCCAGTTTTTACACCAGTTCCAGACCCCCTAGAGCAATACTTAAAAGTCTCTAGTCATTGTCCAAAACCTGTAGGCATTTTAGAGTCCAAGAAAAGCAGAACCTCATAATCTACCCCATGACGAGGTCACCCCCAAGGGGAACAGTCCCTTCATGGCGGGAATCAGGGAATCAAGGTCACACCCCTAAGCAAGAGCAAGTGTTTCATGATGGGCACCAAACTGCCCTCTCAAGAGATGCTGGCTCTCCCAGGATCTTAGAGAACCAGTCCTGAGATACAGATCAACCAGACCAGGGTTACCTGCTCTGCCAGCTGTGCAGACCCCCTTTGTTCCCCTTTTCTATAAAACTCCAAGGTTTCTGTCAGCCCCTGGAAGACAGATTTTGAACTTCTTTGTCTGTGTTCCCAAGGTGGACATGCTGATTAAAGCCCCTTTCCTGCCCTTCACTGCTCATCTCCTTGACTGGGGTCATGGGTCAGGTGGCCAAGCCTGGTCTCTTGAGATCCCCAGAGGTGGGGCTTCTGCCCTGAAACGTTGGTAACAGCTACAGCTCCTAGATGTCCCAAGATGGCCCTGATTTCAAATGCTGCCCTTGCTCTTAAGTCCTCAGACTTCAATACTTTGCTCAAGGAGAAGAGGGACTGTAGCATCAGGGCAGTGGGAGGGGCCAGGGGAACTTTCCCTCTGACCTATAAATTCCCCAAAGACTGCCTCCCTTCCCCAGAGTGCCTATGTCCTTCCTAGGAGAGCAGGGCCAAGGGGAGAGGGCCCAGAACTTTGTCCTCTGGTCTTTGCTGAGGAAGGGCCCACAGCATAGCCACACAGGCTCCATCCACACAGGGAGACCCAGGGATCTGTGCACAGGGGCCCCACACAGAGGATTCCTCTCCATGCAGGATTAAGGGAAGTAGAGGAGTGGGGGAGCTGGAGTTAAGTATCATATAGGCTGATGCTTATTGGCAAAACAGGAAGCCATGACACTCACACACAAGGCTGAAAAGCAGGAGAGTCTTCTGGGCTAGAGTTGTACAGGTCTCTGAGGCTGAGCGAGAACCCCCCCCCCCAGGCTCAAACTCCTGCCACCTGGAGACCAGGGGCAGCTGAGTCCAAGGATGCAGAAGCAGGAAGATCACAAGTTTGAGCCCAACCTGCGCAACCTAGCAACTTAGTGAGACCCTGTCTCACAGTTAAAAACAAAAAAGGCTGGGGATGTAGCTCAGTGCAGAGGCCCTGAGGTCAGCCTCCACTACAAAAAAAAGCCCACCCTCTAGGAAGCAAGGTTCCTACTGCAGCTGAGGCCCTGGCTTTCCCCTTTCCCTGCAGGGCCCCAGGTAGCCTTCTGGACCTCCTGGCCCTGCCCTACCTGATGGGGAGTCTCCAGGGCTGCTCCTGGACTTCCTCCCACGCCGGGTCAGGAATCGCTCACTCACCGACTTGGCTTCTTCCAAGAGAGCCAGGTTTTTCTTCTTGTCCTCCTCTGAGATGCTGATGTCAGGCAACCGGTCATTTACCAGGTCAATGATGTGCCCCGCAGGGTCTGCAGAGGGAGGGTAAGCTCAGAGTGAGAGGCTCTGCCAGCCCATGCTTTGGCCTAGGGCGGCTGCCCAGAGCTAACTGGGCTAGCAGAACCTCAGCAGGGTGCTGGGCAGTGGAGAGGGTTGCACAGGGACACAGAGTGGCTTCCTTGCATGCCTGGCCCCTCGAGCTTGCAGTCTGTGGCTGTGACCCCAACTTGGGGTCCCAGCACTGTCCTAACCTCTGCCTTGAAAGCGGGCCATCCAGGAACCACATTTCCATGCTTTCTGCTCCACCTGGTATGTTCTTCCTTCTGATCTCCTCTCCTTTAACAAGTGAGTAAGCTGTGATATGAGTAAGGCCAGCAGGCCAAAGATCTGGGCAGCAGATGCAATCCTGCGACCACCTTCTCCCTTCTTTCTTCCACTCGCATGCTCTACCCCATCCTTCTCCCAACTGTCCCTTCTGCAGCTCCCCGACTGGGTGAGGTGGGTGAATGGCTCTGGCTCTCCCAGTGGCTCAGGAACATGCGAGTCACTCCACACACCTTTTCCTTCCTCGAGCCCCACTTCCAACCCCTGATCAAGTGCTGCTCTTTACCTCCTATTTATGACTATCCCTGAACCTGCCCTCCTCTCCTTTCCTACTCTAGCTGTTACCTGGACGATGACATCAGCCACCTCATGGGTCCCTATCTGCAGGCCACTCTCTCTGTCCCATCCTCCACTGCCTAAGGGAGTGACCATGGTTGTCAGGATGACATCCCAACTCTAAGCTGGGCTCAGCCAAGTTTGGAGGCCTGACACACTCCCTTGGGGGCCTCTGGACACCATCCCCTCTGTAGTGAGCTTCCTCCAGCTCCCATCTTGCTTCCCCAGCCCCTATTCCCACTTCATTTCATAGGGTAAAACCCCACCCCTCGATTCCCCATTATATTGGTTAGAAAGGAGCTAACCACCCTCACTCACTACAGCACCCCAAGTGCCACACGTGGGAACAGGTACCAGTGTCGGCCAATGAATGAATTCAGCCCTGGTGGCATCAGGGATTGGCTTGGGGTGGCCATGTGCGGCAATCTTGGGAATGGTATGGGCTATGGAGAAGAAAAACTCTCTTTGCAATAATGGGACAAAAGCTTGGCCTTGTTAGTAGTCGTTTGTTACCATAAACAGAGGTCCTGCCCAAGAAGGAAACAAGCACACACCCAAAAAATGAGACTTGAGAGAGAGAATGGGAGAACAACCAATAACCCAAGTTGACTACTGTACCTGGATCCAGTACTACCTGAATCCACAAGCCCTGGCTACTATTCTTCTTCTTCTTCTTTTTTTTTTTTTTTGGTACTGGGAATCGAACTCGGCTCCTTGTGCTTACGCAGCAGGCAGCAAAACCACTGAGCTAAATCCCCGGCCCTATTCTTCTATTATTTGAGATAAGTGAGTGTGAATTGGCTTTCTACCATCCAAAAGAGTCTCAGCTCATACACACAGCAGAGCATTCAGTGGCCACCACCAGACCTCTGTGTGGCCCCTGCTTCTTACCACATCTCTTCTCCTGCCTGCCACACCTCTCCTCCCTCTTGTCTATCTGTCCAACCACACCTTCCCACTGGCCCAGCCCTTACCCACAGATGTCAGGGGTGCAGTGGAGACCTTCAGGTGTCGGTGAGAAAGCCTCCTGTGGGGACTGTGATCTCTGAAAGGCAGAACAGAGTCATCTCATCAGGAAACTGCTTGATGCCAGTGTCACCTTTCAGCATCATCCTAAAGTGTCGTCTTATGTGTTCAGGAGTCCTCTGACTTTCACACTGGGAGCTTGTTAGAAATGCAGATTCTCAGGCCCCACCCCAGGCATCCTGGATCAGGAACCCTGGGGCTTGGGACCAGGCAGCTGTGATCTAAGAAGCCTCTGCCGGCTTCGGTACACACTCAAGTTTGCCAACCATGGCTCTAAGGAGATGCCACTTTGACTGACAACAGTGCTTACTGTTCTTTAGGCCCAGACTCTAAGCTAAGATCTGACTGCTGGAAACCCCATAAAATGAGAAGAGCTAGAAATATGGTGCTGCCCTACAGAATATTAAGCTATTTTATATCTAACTTAGCAATTTTACTCCAGGATCCTTTTGCTCCCCACTGATTACATATATGTCTGTTTCTTATGCCTGCTTTTGAATCCACTTTGTTGTCCTACAGCTTCCCTTGTTAATGAGTGAAGGTAAATCTTTGACATGTGCTCACTATATGAGAATTATCTTTTTAGCTTTTTGAAAATTGCACTTAGACAATCTAATCCCAGCTAGACCAGTGCATGGGCCAGTGCAGAGTGAAACGGCCAGTGAACCCGTGAGTAAGCCAATGACCCCTCGCAGGACACCATCTTCATCTTCCATACAGGACCCACTTTGGCCAGCAGCAGGATTCTGCAGCCAAGGACTCGCACTTTTTAGGTTTGTCTTCAAATATCTGGGCAGTCATGGTGAAAAAATTCCCTGCTATGGTTTGTGGATTCTTAAAAGCTCACAAAGTACCAAGAGCCAAATTCAGGAGAAGAAAGATCATTCTGAAAAAATCTTAAGATCTCTCTTTCATTTTGAGAAACTGTTTGATAGCGTTTCATCAATAGAGTGGTGCAAGAAAAAAGAAAAGATTTATAAAAAGTCTAGCTTTCTGAGGCCCATATTCTAGGGAAAATTGCCCATTGTAGTACAAGGATCAGGCACCTGGGCTCCGTACCTGTTGGCCAGGGACCTGTCGGCCTCTCCTGGTGAACTGGCATCCCCGGTCAGGACGATTGCAGGTGGACCGTGGAATATTCCTGCCAAGGGAGCGTCCTAGGGGTTTAGAACAAAAAGGCAGATGGTGTTAGGCCCGTGCCGGAGGGAGCTGCAATGATCACCCTAGCACTGTGCTGCTCAGGGTGGTCTTGGTCACAGGGACTGTGACTGTCTTGGTCACAGTGTGTTTGCTTGTTTCACCTTTACTGAGGTATAATCAATAACTTAAAATTGTACGTATCCAAGGTGTACAATGTGACATTTTGATAGGCATAGGCATGTAAAAATGACTATCGTAATTAACATATATACCACCTCAGTTAACTGTGTGTATGTTTATGTGATAAGAAGATTTAGTGAGGGCCGGGGATTTAGTTCAGTGGTTTTGGCACCTGCCTTGCAAGTGCAAGGTCCCGAGTTTGATCCCTGGTACAAAAAAAAAAAAAAGAAAAGAAAAGGATTGAGTGGGAGATCAGAAAGCCTTCATGGGTAGTGCAATCCTGAAATAAAGATGTGTCTTCCCCTGTGGTACAGGCACAAACTGT